CTGCGAAGGCGCCAAGCCAAGGGTATAACTTTCATAACTGTGGTATGTGCACTACAGTTTTCTGAACTTATTTATAAGTCAACAGTACTAAAATGAACGTAGTCTTTCACAGAAAACATGACAGTAAGTTCTTAGCATGCATGACGCAGAGATATCCTGTTGCAACATCAGTGCTAATTTGAGCATTAACCACATGGGTATTAGTCGACTTGTGAGCAAGCACCCAGCCAATACGGGCGAAGGCCGAGAATGACCAATGACCGTGATGTGATGACAAAATCCTAGTTCGTCTGACAAGATGCTATCCCATGCCCCATGCCAAAGACATACGCCGGCAATGGAGAGTCCAAACCTCTACTGTACAATTAAAAGGAAGCTGAAGGCTGCTGGACTGAGGGATCAGACGTCCCTTCCTCACAGACAGCCCAGGCAGAAATGTCTGGCGTGGTGCAGGTGCAACTTTAGGACATGCTGTGGGGATAATTTGTCTGATGAATGTCGCTAGCTTCTACACTTTACCGGCCGTCGATGTGGCGTATGGAGACGAGGTAACGAGGCATATGACCATCGTTACCATCATATGGACCAAATGATCCATGCAACTGTCTCAACAGGAAGAACTGGATACTGCCATCATGTCACATAATAGCCATCTCTTGCCAGTCGTCCGATATTCATATTCATGGAAGACACGGTGTCTGATTGTGTTAGTTGTCTGTTGGAGAACTCTTGAGGAAATCTGTTTCACTCTCGTAGCATGCAAGCATAATTGTGTGTTGCTGTCTTGCAACTTACAATCTCGCTCTCAGGCGAGCTCAGTTTGCGCCATGTCCGGTGACAGGGCACCACAGGTAGGTTATTCACGCAGATTACCTCATGGAGACCTATGAAGAGACGGAGGTCGGACAACTGGTAGTCTTGATCACGGACTTTGCGTAGATTGGAACGGCTTCCACGGCCGAAAGATATGAATTTACAGAGAGGTACACAAAGTCTGTGATCTAGACAATTAGTTGTCCGACTTGCCGCTTTGTCTGAGTGGATTAGATGGCTGACTTTGTGTGCAGGCGTTTAGGTGCCTGACTCTGATAGTGTATGCTCGAATCCCGAATCCCGGTGGGACTCAACCGAGCAAAAGTACTAAATCTGTACTTTCCTGAGAAAGTATTTTGTACATTCCATGCAAAAATACCCCATTTGATTTGCGTTTCCTTTGAGGCTACTTTCTCTTGATTTCGGAGCAAAGGTCGAAATAAGATGATATCTCACAATGAACTGATTTTACATACATCTTGTGATTGTGTTTGCCACATGCCATGAGAAGTTCAAAGGACAAGGTCCAGAGACCGAGCACTCTCGTCAGAGTCATTGTAGTTGTAGTTACTCAAAACATATTATTGCATTTATCCTACTTTCTCTGAGGCATGGTTACGTTACTTGGTAAATATTTGTACAGGCATGGTTAGGATACTCATGCACAGGCTGTTTCTACTCTTTCACTGGCAATCTTATCTGGTGCATTTAAATGAAGTTCATTTCGTTTGCAATTCACTCGTACTATTTATGAAAACTTTGTCCTTTCTGCCAGCACATAGAACCATATGAGAATACTGCATCCCTATTTTAATAGGGCAAATTGTTAAGCATTTATGTGCCAAATGGGTATGTGCTCATCATATTCATGCTCAATGTCATAGACATGTGATTAATGATCAGCTGCAAAAGGGGGAAGCATAACAGAGTTATTTCATGTTTTTGCACACTCACACACTGCCTATTGTTAAACACACATTTTGAGTCGTAATGAGAACTATAACAATTTGTAGAAAGGTCAAATGAAATACAGAAGAATGTGCGATAGTGTGAGTGTTTTCCCCATGACTTTAAGATTGTACATGTCTTTACTCTGCTGTTTAGATGATCTTCGGGCCCGGGATACCTCATCAAGGTGGACAGAAGGTACTATTAACAACTACACATTGTTGACAGTTAACACTTACATTCGGAGAAGAAATATGTTCACTACAATTTATTCACAATAAGTCGGTAATCAATGATCAATGTCTAAGACATGTGATTAATGATCAGCTACAAAAGGGGGAAGCATAACATAATTATGTCATATTTGAGTCGTAATGAGAACTATAACAATTTGTAGAAAGGTCAAATGATATACAGAAGAACGTGCGATAGTGTGAGTGTTTTCCCCATGACTTTAAGATTGTACATGTCTTTACTGTGTTGAAGACTTACTAGGTTACTGATCCAGTTGATCCACTGGCGGTAGTGCTGGCAGTACAACTGACTGGTTTCAGATTTTCTTAATGTAGATAAGGTAGGATCCACAAGTGGCCTTGCCTATTGCCAAGAAGGAGAAGAAAGCAAGCGTACAGGGGATATATTATGGAGTAGAAATGAAACGTTTAATTTATATTCCGAGGATCCGTGAACGTCCGGGTTAGAATTGGTAACCCATGCTTGCCGTGAAAGGTGACTAAGGCGATTTGGTGGTCAGACTCGCTGACTTGCGTAGATCGACGTTCCTGTTGTTGATCACTGGATTGTCTGGTCCAGACACGATTATTTACAGACAGCCGCTATTTAGCTGGAATATTGCTGTGTGCAATAAACAGCTACCCAACCAACCAACCAACCAAATATTATTCTCAAAGAGGATTTACCACGTACAGGGTTCGACTCGTTCGAGAATATGTACAGCAGAGTGATGTACTGCAAAGATAATTGTATACGGAAGAAATAGCTCATCAGCATCAACAGGACTTTCAATGGGAAAAGGTTGAGAAAGACAGAGTGGACAGAATCTGAACGTTTCAGGCTGCTTTTGCAGAATCCATTATACATAATGGAGCCATACTTTACTTTTGAACGGATAAGTGATCAGTATGGGTGAAGGAGGGTTGACTGTTTTCCTCCACATTTGGAACAAAAACAATTTTCAACAGATCCAGTGCCCTTAAACACTCTGCTTCAATATGTGGTAAGAAAGTATGAAGATGATCTAAAATATCATCTTCCATGTATGATCTAAAATATCATCTTTCCTATATTGACTGATTGCTCTAAGGCAATATGTTTGTCTGTGTCGGCAATCAAATAGACCGATTCAATCTGTCGGTTAAAACTATTGCTTTCGTCAATGTCAACCGATCAGAGGTGATAGCAGTTTTAACTGCAGTGTTGCTTTGGAACCAAGCACACAATAACGAAACAAACAAGCTGTTGATCTGCCAAAATTGGATATTCATCTTTCCTCTATTAATCGCCTGCAAGTAAGACAAACTGAGAACTATTGATACAGTGTATCGCTAACAAAGCAGCCTTTGCTTCAGAGCATACCTGTGAGAGGTGGAGAGGAAATGAGAAGGGTAGTTGGCACGCATTTCAATAGACTCTTGTTGATTGCAATGGAGTTATTTCCTGCGTTTGAATTTTAGCAATAGGAGTAGGATCCATATCGTATATGTCAGAACAGTGTGAAGTGTCTCCTTACTATAACCAATGCGATGGAGGCTGGTATAATTTAACCCTGCGGTACAATTGGATATACTGGGATGGAAAGATGCTGACTTCTGCATTAATTAGATTCAATTGATTTGAGTTCCTATATAGGCATTTCTTATGTCTATACATCTGTTTGTTTTGTTTTTAACAGAAACCGATGTCGATTTATAAGACTACACAACGTACTGAAGCTGAACTGTCAATCCACAAACTGCCTTACACAAGTAATTTACTCATAGCAAACTATTCTCGGCTCAAGTTGTCTTGCCTGATCGACTATTAGTCTGTCTGCTGTCGGTATGAAGGAGTCTTCTCGGAACCCAATGATAGTAATTGACATTCCCAAAGTAGTGATTACACAATGCCATTTAGAAAGTTGTCAAATGTAACATATGTTATATTCGGTCGTGGGAACCGTGCCAATTAACATTTATCAGAGGGGTACACAAATCCCGCAGTCTAGACTACCAGTTGTCCGACTTCCATTTTTGTGGAAGTCGCGGTAGCTGAATAGGTTAGGTGGCTGACTTTGTGTGCTGGCGATTAGGTGCCTGACTCTGATGGTGTGAGTTCGATTCCCGGATGGGGCTCAACTAAAAAAAAGTACTAGAATTTGTACTTTACTAAGAAAGTGTAATCCCAAATATAACATATGCTACATTCCCAAAGTAGGCATAGTTACTGGCAAGAAGGCTGGTAAGTCACGGTAATCAGCTGAGTCAACCCAATTGCAAGTCAGTTGAGACGACCTCACAAATTCCTATCTCAGTGGATTTGTGGAATATATATTTTACAGGTATGCAGAACATTTCAGGATATGACATTATATAATTTGCAAGAAACTATGTTAACTCATATTGGATTAAAATCAGAAATGACAGAATCAGCCATAGGTGACATTACAACTTCAGCAGATACCAATGATGACTGGCCAAACAATTGAACATGTAGATTCGTTTAAAATTTAGTATCTGAGCGCATTTGTACATATGAACTATATCATAGGTAAAATATCCATCACAAAATGCTTTTAAAAAGTGGCTTTTTAACAATAATTACACAGGATTATTTATGGACTATGAAACAACTTGGAATATTAACCAACAGACAGTTCTAAAGAGTGGTCAAATTCGATAAGAAGGAGTTAGATTGGCACAATCGAGACTCCTATCCCCTCAGGTTCAACTATAGTGATTCATTTAACTGTCTAACTGCAATGCTGTCTACCAAATGTGCGCTCCCAACTTCAATTGTGATTAAATATGGCTCAGTGTTTCAGCTCATCTCAATTTTTTGTCCTAAACAAATATAGTTATTCACAAACACATGGTTCTTCCCGTAACGAAAATATTGTATTCAATAACGTGGTTTGACGGTGCATATTTTTTGTGTTCAGATATGTTATTTGTGCTATTTCAACAATATTGTTTTATTGCAATGTCTTTATGCTTTCAAATAATGCTTTCCATGTGATTTTGTATTTGCTTTCAATTAGTCGACTTATGTGCGATTCAAGATCGAAATAAATAAGAATGATCTTCACTGCTGGGTCAAGCAAAGGTACTTAAATCAAATACTTATCCTTATGATCATCTTTAAAATTATCAAAGCAATTTCTTGTGGAATTTTCAGCTTTGTACACCGCAACTTAAGGGGAAACCTTATTCTGTTGTCTCTAGAACTGATGACCAGAGTTACAACTCCATGTTCAGATGTAGGAGAACTTGGTTTGTGAAATTCTGTGTAGGGAAGCAGCATTTCAGAGACATGGGTTTATGATATGGATGAAAGCATACGAATGTTCTCATGATTACTGAAATGTCCATCACAAAATGCTTTTAAAGAGTGGCTTTTTAACAATAATTACACAGGATTATTTATGCACTATGAAACAACTTGGAATATTAACCAACAGACAGTTCTAAAGAGTGGTCAAATTCGATAAGAAGGAGTTAGATTGGCACAATCGAGACTCCTATCCCCTCAGGTTCAACTACAGTGATTCATTTAACTGTTGTCTAACTGCAATGCTGTCTACCAAATGTGCGCTCCCAACTTCAGTTGTGATTAAATATGGCTCAGTGTTTCAACTCATCTCAATTTTTTGTCCTAAACAAATATAGTTATTCACAAACACATGGTTCTTCCCGTAACGAAAATATTGTATTCAATAACGTGGTTTGACGGTGCATATTTTTTGTGTTCAGATATGTTATTTGTGCTATTTCAACAATATTGTTTTATTGCAATGTCTTTATGCTTTCAAATAATGCTTTCCATGTGATTTTGTATTTGCTTTCAATTAGTCGACTTATGTGCGATTCAAGATCGAAATAAATAAGAATGATCTTCACTGCTGGGTCAAGCAAAGGTACTTAAATCAAATACTTATCCTTATGATCATCTTTAAAATTATCAAAGCAATTTCTTGTGGAATTTTCAGCTTTGTACACCGCAACTTAAGGGGAAACCCTATTCCTTGTTTCGTTGTCTCTAGAACTGATGACCAGAGTTACAACTCCATGTTCAGATGTAGGAGAACTTGGTCTGTGAAATTCTGTGTAGGGAAGCAGCATTTCAGAGACATGGGTTTATGATATGGATGAAAGCATACGAATGTTCTCATGATTACTGAAATGATTTTATCGATAACAACCTCTTGTTTATTGCGCGATGCCTCGATGTAGATTATTACTACGTCTTTCAGCTAAACGTTGAAATAAAATTGTGCCTTATGCTTTTTAAAACAGTTGTATTTCAAGTTATAGCATGTGTATTACCTTTGAACATTAATACATTTCATTTGTTGTTTTGCTACTTTAGTTATGTTTTTTATAGATTAAAAATTAGTTTGATTTATATGGTTGTTTTGCTTTTCACAAGGAATCAGGACTTCACGAAAAACATTTTGAATCCATCGAAATTCGCCGTCACAACCTGTGAACAAAAGATACTAAGGGTACTACATACCACCAGCCTACGAAGAATAAGACTATAGACTCATAGCACCCTATCAACTTGTTTTTACAACGTAATCCCACCTGTTTATTGGCTTCATCACCCGTGGTATTTGTTGTTCTTGGTCCCCACCTGGCCTCATCTAATTATGTGCCACTTCTATCATCTACACGCTCCTGTTGTGTCATCTACACACTCCATCGTATCTCCTGGTGTCAATCACTTGACTGTCTGGTTCAGTTCGATTGTTTACAGACTGCATCGTACAGCTGTACAGCTCATGTGGAGCGCTATAGAGCAGTGGTAAGGCGTCTGCCTATCACGCTGAAGGCCCGGGTTTGATCCCTGGTGGATGCACCCGTGGAGGTTCGGGTCCCGAGGTGGGCACATTTGCGTAGTATCCTTGGACAATATACTTAGAACTACATTGTCTCAGTTCACCCAGCTGTAAAATGGCTATCCGTGAGGATGTGCTGGAAATATGAGTGTTTAGTTCATTACGCCTTACAGGCAACATGGCTGTATGCTCCGCAGGGAGTTGAAAAAAATATCAGAAAGTACGATAGTGTCCTATGACCGGGGATAGAATGTACGTAGCGCCGTGAGCAGGCAATTACTATTACTAATACAGCTGAATGCGGCGTCAAACACACGATACTCACGATGTAGTCAGAATTGTAGCAGAGACCTCTTAAAGGTATTGTCGTTTCTACTTAGACAGACACGGGTGTGTCCATCGTAGGGAAAGATACATGCGAATATTCCACTACAAATAGAAGCGACAAAGCCCTTTCCACATTCATAAGCAATCTCTGCCAAAAAAAGAGTCGATTGTACAATTGTGACTATATCATGATATTTGTTTCAGCAGTATTACAGCTTTATGATGTTGTTTGTAAATTAATCGGGTTTGAGCCAGACAATCCAGTGATTGTCACCATGCGATACTGTGACAGTGTTTATGAATCACTATGAAAAAGTGATGATACCAGGTTTTCGCGAGAAGGTGAGCGTATCCTGCCCCACCGGTGGCACCCGTCATAAACATATGGTAAGTCTAGTCATTTGTTCACCTGAAATAATTCGGGAACGTATGGTATAAGTCAACATATTGAATTGCATCGGACATTTTTTTTTGTCACTAATGCATCGAATTTGCACATTTCCTCCACCTGACTACCATTTTGAACTACTTAAGGGAAATTAATCTGTATCATAAATTTGTAGCTATGTACCGTGAATGACAGATTGCTTGTTTTAGAATTTTATGCTATGACATATTCTGTTTGTAAATAGTAATTAATGAATATAGTATAATGATTGTATATTTTTTCAAGAAACTCATTTGTTGTAACCTTGATGAAACAACTTCTGAGCAAGAGTAGCATGACGCTCTTCGAAATCCTGAGAACAAGAGCACCCTCAATTGTACGTCAAAAGTTGTAAAATGTAAACACCAAAGGCTGGAGCTGTTGGAATATTGCTCAACATGAAAGGGAATTTGACTATTGGAAAGTTGAAATCATCCCTTTTGTCATACAGACTTGAGGAGAGTTTGTTTTGTCACTCTGAATCTTTATGCATAGATCTAAATATAAAACAGTTGAGGCTGTCTCATTTGTCTCCTTAATTTCAAGTTCAGGTTGGTAAATCAGTGGAAGGCAATTGGCGATTTGATGGTTATTGTATATAACATATTTTGTGTATCACATATACAAATATTATTTTTTAAACGGCGTTCAAAAATAATGATTATTTCCTCAAAAAATCAGATCACAGTAGACTTTAAAAGCTAAAGCGACACGAAGTCACAGTTCCATTTTGGCATTGCAAGTGTCGGACAGAACATATGATACATTAGAGAAGTTTCAGTGTTTACACTAAACTAGACCAGTTCGAAAAGAAGGGAAACTAGGAAATATAACAGGAGCTGTTGCTCACCAACACTTCGGTGTCTTACATCAAGTTTTAAGTTTTAAGTTTTATGCGGCTTTTAGCTCTATTCCAGCAATCTCGTTGTACCTCTACTTCGTTGTGATATAGAGAACAGAACGATAGAATATGCGACCAAGACCTAAAGCACATAGAAAAACGTTTGCATGCCTACAGAGCCACCATAATACGGAAAGTCGGCACAGACACAACACAGAAACGTCGTTAATGAATATCCGAAACATCAGTCAGATACGACAGTTTATCAACAACAAAACAACAACTTTGCTCGTTCAAGCCTGTGTAATCTCCAATCTGGATTATTGCAACTCCCTTCTTCTCGGGCTGCCAAAACGTCTTGTCTTTAAACTTCAGAAAGTCCAGAATTCTGCCGCAAGACTAATCAAGAGAACCAAAAGATCAGTAAATATCACCCCAATCCTGAAAGATCTCCACTGGCTCAAAGTTGAGGACAGAATCAAGTTTAAAGTGCTGACTCTGACATTCCGTGCTATCCACCGCGATGCTCCTCCGTACATTTCTGAACTCATCCAAGAATACAAACCTGAGAGAACTCTACGTTCCTGTAACCAGTGTCTCTTGAAGCTTCCGTCAGCTCGTACATCACTTGGCGAGAGAAGTTTCGAAATCTCAGCCCCCCAGTTATGGAACTCCCTCCCACTTGAAATAAGAAGTGCCCCTGAGTTTGAATCATTCAAATCACTACTGAAAACACATTTGTTTAAAGTCTGCTACTGTTAGACTGTGTATTCCCAGGACAGTTCATTGCCCTCAAGCGCTTTTGAGCAGTTGATTGTACTGGAAACAAGCGCTATACAAGTGTATATTTATTGTTATTATTAATGCCAAACAACAACAAGTCAAACATTTCACATAGAACAACCGCTATAGCACAAATGTATACGATTTTCTCTCTTTACATTTCCTGCAAAATTAAAAAACTATGTTGCAACTAAGTTGATGTAAATCGCTCCAAAATGTTCAAACGTCGGAAATGATTAATTCCGAAATAATTGTACGACATAAAGCAAATTCAGTTCCTTCATGGAAGTATTGACCAACACGCACTGCAAGATAAGATACACTGGGGCATTTCCTCAGTGGGACCAACTCATCTTGGTTCAAAGTTCATTGGTTGCCTAGAATAAGCTATATACAAGCCCAACGGACAGTCTGACAAAAAAATACACAGTCACTCAGACAAAAGATATTCATTGGTCCAAGGTGGTGATATAGGAAAGACCTAACAGGCGCATCTCCTGTAAAGGCAGTTCACAGTGAATGGCCAGGCATTAATTATCGAAATGGTCATGTTGCTGAGACATTTACAAATATTTACAAATTTACACAATATACGCTTTCAAGTCAGCTACCTGTCCAGACGTTGATTCACAAAAGGAACTAGAGTGTACAGGCACACAGGTGACCTGATCATGGCTACACAGTATAGAATATGTTGAACGAGTATCCTTTTCCCAGACAACTGGTAACGTCACTGAATGTCAGTTCAAATGGTATTCACTGTTGTGTCTTTTGTCCCCGAAGAAGGCTGGATTGGCCAATCATCCAAACTGGTTGTTCCTTGAAGCTGACGTATTTCATTAGAAGGTGTTAAGTACCTGACAAGTATTCTTATCTCACGATCACGTGTTTTTGTCTCGGAAACTCTATCTGTTCCTAAGTGAGAATGTGAGCAATAATTCCAAACTAAACCTTCTGGTGCTTCATTATGACTGCTCTCCTCGTCAGCGTTTGGACCGAAAACGTCTGCAAGAGCAGGCATGGCACCATCGGTCTCGTCAGTGGTGTCCTTTGATGTCATAACTGCAGCTGAAGAAGCCCTAACATTGTTATCAGTAATTTCCCAGTATCTATGGAGAGTTTCATACGTCACGCTTAATGTGGGGGCACGTCTAGGTGATTCGTCATGATCGCCCCGTACTCTGATGTTGTTCGAACTGTTAACAAAATACAAATATATATTATGTCACTACATATACATGACTATCAGCAGTGTATGAAATAAGTTAAAAATCCAGCCAGACATCAGGGCTGGTAACTTCAAAATGTTACCAGCCAAAATGGATTTAACCCGACCAAACAAGCCAAAGGAAATAACTCAATTTTTAGTTAAAATCAATAATTTAATGAACCTGAGACATGTATGTACTGTCTAACAGTCTATTCACAACAGTCATTGTTAATACACAGATGTATGGAACATGTCATCTAATATTTTTACCAGACCATCGGGCTGGCCAGCTGTAAATTTAGACTGTCCGTCAGAAATCAAGCCCGTCTCGGGCAGTCGGATGGGCCTTATTTCATAACTGCTATCAGTGATCATGGTAGAAAGACGGTTCATATTGAAAGGCATTTCATGGATCAGTTTCATAGTGAACTGAAATACTAGCACTGATATCTAAAATGAAATATAGCACTGGGCAATATGAAACACCGCTTTGAAGATACGAAATGAAAAACGGAAATAACCTTCGTTTGCAAAACTTTCTGACGACTGACACAACTGCAACACTGACAGCAACGGTGAAAGCTGCCGTTGACATAACAACGTAAGATGCTCTTCCGTACGGTTCATCTGAAGGAGAAACATGGACTGGCGTAGTCACTAGAATTATAGTCAATCATGTATAGTACATCCATTTTGGGGTTATACTGGCAAATATCCACATTATTAATGTTGTGAAAAGAGATGATTGATTTAATTTGAATGCTAGAGAATATGAAAGAAGCTACCATGTCCAGAAAGAATATAACTAAAAATAATTTATTCGTATATACTCTGACATTCTAGTGTTCAGAATGAAACGGAACTGAATTACCTTTCGATTTGTATCCTGGTATTGTATTTCCGTGTAGCATGGAAGGATCACAGTTCACCCTTGCCATACAGTCGGACGAGGAACAATTGTTTCCGAATCCATTACTACACCTGCCTGTGGTTTGGTTGCATATACCGTCGAGACATGACTCACATACATATTGGTACAGAAACTTCCGTAGAACCCTTTGACACATCCGTACAGACAAGATTCATCCTGTGTGTGGCATGTGCCATTCATAGTTCTCGGGGCACGGTAGACAATCTGTCCCGTATGTCCCCGATATACAGCCGTCAATACAAGCACCTGTGTTGTCACATTTTAGATTTCTACACAGAGATTTACACGGACACATCCATGAACACAGTCCCCTGTCAGCTGTTCACATTCGGGTTTGGAAGACACGGCTGTTGTAGCAGACAAAGATCTATCACCATCGGTGGGCTTTGAGTTAGGCCGACAATGTAAGCTACACATGTGAACACACAATGGACCGTAAAATCCTGGTTTACATCCAAGTGTACAATTATCATCTTCACAACCCCCTAGACAATTCACGCCACCATGCCCAGCACGGTATTCCTCACAAGTTCTTGTTTTTTTCACATTACAGGACTTTCATCTCCTGGAAGAGATGCTGCAGTGAGAACCGTAATATGAGTTATTACATCCAGCTATACATGATGACCCGAGATTACAGAATTCCCCATCGCAAGCACGTGGGCATTGCTCACACGTGTCCCCGGGATCCAGATACGGTAGTTTGCAATTAGAGCCATGAAATCCCTGATTGCAACCCTCCGTGCACCTGTCAATTCCGGTACTTCTATTTTCACAAACACTGTTTTTGCATTGGCTAATTCATTTGGAACTGCGTCTCAGATCATAATAGCCATCATGACACTTGTATCTTGTCTCCCAATCACATTCTGAACAGTGCTGATCCTCTTGACAATTGGCTGCTGCAAAACGCAAAGTATAAACTGAGGCTGGTATTCTGACATTCTTCAAATATATGCAGAAGTACATTAATATCTATTACTGTGCTTTGAGTAGCAAGAGCACACTCTTGATTTCTGAATATAATAAGACTGGATTCAAATAATTTAGCGAGGAGTTTGTTTGTGCGTGTGTGTCTGCGTGCGTGCATGCATGCGTGCGTCTGACTGTATCAGCCAGCAAATATTGTAGTGCTAGACAACATAGACGCAAGGCAATTCCATACAATCATTACCCAACTTAGACAGCACTTACTGATTCCGAGCCGATAAGTCCGTTTATCCTTCAGTGCTGAGATAACAAGTACCATGTTTTAACATCTCATAGTATGAACACCTACCAATACTCTTAGGGCAGACACTTTATCCACTACACCACTACAATACTTTGGTAGTGGAAAACATATTTCATATAACATTTACTATGGTCTGAATTACCTTCAGGGTGGGAAATCACAACAGCAGGGACAACAATCAGCAAAGCAATTCTTAGGCATCTTCAACGAAATGGAGACTATCATTAGTAAAAAAACAAACATACGAGAAATATAATCATAGTTCAGATGGCACAGAGAAAAATAAAAAAGTGAGTGAGTGAGTGAGTTAATATTTAACGTCACATCGGCAATATTTCAGCCATATCGTGACGAGAACATTTGATATTGAAATGAAATATATGTATATTATAAAAAACCTGCCGACGAAGGACAGTAAAACAACTAGAACATCACAATTTGAAGTAAAACTAGCGTAGAAAGTAAAAACAAATAGCACTATTTGGACAACACAATATACAAAAGTGGCTAGAGATCGCCAACAACTGAAGGGAGATCACCATACCAGGGACCATGGGGACTTACAATAAAAAAGTGAATTGTCTGATTAAAATATCATATATTCATGCCAATAATGGTTGTCACCCCCAGCCTATTAATAAAATTGAAGGGCCTGACAACCATTTTTGACATGAGTATATTTCGAAAGTATTGCCGTTGATATTATACATTGTAAACCAAAAGTCACTGTGTTCTTTAATCTGATTGGTTAATAAACATGATCAAATGGTATACGATTCCCGGAAATTCGCTGCGTATTAATACATACAAACATCGCTCACACCATTGTATTGTTACGTCGTCAGCTGAGATGACGTCATTAAAATCATATTGTGACGTAAAGTCCGAATGACGTCACAAATGAGCAGTTCCAGATGCTACCTACCATGGGAGACAGCCGAAACGGCCGGCTGATGACATTGCACTGCTGTACCCGTACTCGATGTCAATGAGTGCAGACACAAAAACGTGTGTGGACCTTTTGGTTTACTTTTGTGTTTACAATGTCGATAAACATCACGTGTTGGCCAATTTCCGGGTGTTATTGAGTATTTGAAGCACGGGAATATTTCATTTGAAACCTCCGGCTGACGCCGTCGGTTCCAAATGAATTCCCGTGCTTCAAATACTCAATAACACCCGGAAATTGGTCAACACGTGATGTTTATCTCCAAAATGTAACATAAATGTCGGCAGTTACACTATCAGACGGAAGATGAAAACAAACAAGGCCCAGAAATCAGTTGCCATGGCCAGCCTTTGTCCCTTAACTGGTCTGTTTAATGCGTTTTAACGTCCACTGTGAAGAAATCTTATCCTGTCATTACCCCTTTAATTAAAGGTTACTATTGCTGTGCGCTATATAGATGCTTGGTTGACACATGTTACCGTATCCAGTATTGGTCACTGAATTGTCTGGTCGCCGCGTCGATTAGTTACAGACCACCGCCATATAGCTGTAACATTGCAGAGTGTGGCCTTAAACAACAGGAAGCAAACAAACAAATCTCACCTGCCTTTGTACTGCTCCAGAGTCGGGTGAAACAAAGATAATGCACCCGTATTATTCCATCATAAAGTACCTTATACAACCCTTATTCTTAAAACTAAACTAGATCAGTCTACAAGCACAGTGTTGTCAGGGTGTCACCACTGCAGTGAAATAACATCTTGCACAGTAAGGAATAGGTGCTGCAAGGGAAACAACTCCACGTGCCATATTGGAAATGTTTGGGAACAAAAGGGAACGTGTACTATAAAGTTTTGTAATGACACAGATGAATGTTTTTTTCTGAGACTTTATCGGTATGCTGCTAAATAGGTTTTTATTTCTGTGTGACATCAGTTTAAATTATATTTTACTTATAGCGGTATGTTTTTAGTTGGGAAGTTGCGAACAGTTTGCAACACAGTCACCTTACATGAGCATGTGGCATTTCAATCAGTCGTAAAAGGGCTGTGTGAATTGACGTGAAATGACAGCAGGTATTTCTTATTACGGGAAATAGGGAAGCTTTATTTCATGTATGGTATTTTGGAAAATTACCACACATTGTGTTTACCTAAACGGTTCATGCTTCAATTAGTTATATCAACATTTATCACCATGACTCTCAGGGACGGATCCAGTGAGTGGTGCGGAGGTACAACCCACCCACCCCCACCCACCCCACCCCCTCCTCCGAAGGAGCATTTCCCTTTAACTTTGGACTTCATGATTTATGTGCACACCCCTGGACGACTCTTAACACAAAATAATCTCTCCAATTGTAGGCATATACAAAACCATGCTAATGAATAAAATAAAAGACTTATACTTGTATGAAGAGTTGTACTTAATTATGTCTTATGACAATGAGACGGTAACATGACATAACAGTGATCTACTACATGTACTATGTATTTCCTACATAAGTAATTATTCCTTATGTACCACTCTATCATGTCTCGGTGATAATATAAAGCGCCTCTGGTGATAATATCAAACCATGCAAGAAAATTGTATTGAGACAGAAACTGAAATCCCTTCCCCGGAAATTGTTCATTTGAACCGTTCATCTTTAGAAAAAGTTTTTCGCTGGAGATGATTGCCCTAGTGTTTTATGACTACTGTTTTTGCTGATTGTTTGCAGTAGGTGAGTCTCTGTCTAGTTTGTCTGCACATTTTATGCATCCAACATATAATGAGATAAACATCATACCTTTATTCGCGTTGCACAAGTTATAACAATCGGACGTATCGCACGCACTTCACTCATGGAACAATCTGACAGGAAATAATATCTTAAAATGTACCCGACCTCCTTCCCGAATCACGTACACTTCAATATCAATGTATGGCTAGATTGTCTAAATTGCTAGCGGCTGAGGGGATGGTGTAAATCCAGCTAAGGCCCATGTAGGAAGCAAATGTACTGTAAGTCCCCATGGTCCGTAGTATGGTGATCTACCTTCAGTCCTTGGCAATCTATAGCCTGTTTTTATATTGTATTATCATTTATAGTTAAAATATTTTAGATATAATTACTAGTTTTAAATGGATATTTGTGATACACTAGTAGTTTTACTGTTCTTCGTGAACAGGCTTTTAATTTTTCTAACTTTGTTTATCTTTAATATAATTATTTATTGTTCTCGTCACGATATGGCTAAAATATTGCCGATGTCACGATAAATATTAACTTACTCACTCACACTTCAATATCAGGCTGCTCATGATTTACTTATTAGCTAAAGAAAAACTGACTTGATGTCTGTAGAATATGAAGTTAGCTTATCCTGTCTGCACAAGCTACGTTCTCAAAGGAAGAATTGAATATTGTTGTACTTTTACTTTAGGTGAGCTAAAGTGGGCCACAATGTAAGGACTTCAGCATCAAAAGATGTATCGAATACGTGTGTTGCATGACACTCTTTTCGAGAATGGTGGTTAGATTGAGTTGCAGTTTTGGTAATTCCAAAATCATCTTTAAACATTAGTAAGTATTAATCCAGTCGACGTGAACATACAGTTGCACTACTTTCAGTTCATTCACAAATGTACAATAACTGGTTTGCACCAAGCCTGCATATCGGAAGTCAGTTTCCTTAAATAAGAAATACACAGGGGCCGTAATTCTTGAAACACTTATGGGCTGTTGGGTATCCTAATGGTTAAATCGTCTACTCGTCACATGCGTGAATGTGTCCCCCACAGTGATATTGCTGGATTATTGCAAAAAGCGGCGTAAAACCAGACTCACTCACTCACTCTTGAAACATTTGTTTCCTTCTATGCATTTTATTACAATCTGATAACCAATGGTCAAGATCGGTGACATGGTTGCATCAACCACTTGCATGTCTTGTCCAGACTCTTCATATTGTTGAAACCCATAAACCGCCGGGTTAGAACTGGTCGTCAGCAACCAATGCTTGTGGTAAGAAGCGACTAACGGCATCGGGTGGTCAGGCTCGTTGTCTTGGTTGACACATGTCATTGCGTCCTAAATGTGTAGATAGATGCTCATTACGTTGATCAGTGGATACTCTGGTTCAGACCTATGAACATACCGTCGCCATACAGATGTAATAAATCAAACAAACATCGCATTCCACTGACATACAAAAAACTTTTAGAGACCATCACATGAGGTAAGAATTTACTACGTTCTGATCATTTTGAAGGCAATTAGAGCAACCGGAAGTTGAATAGAGAGGTTATAGTCAATGACATGTTACAGCAGATACTGCACACATTCCACAGAGCTAGTGGTCTCATAACCCTCGTGTCGTCGCTGTGGTTGGACAGTTGCTATGACACGGAAGTGTTAGATATTTCTCTTATTTCAGAGAAAGCTGTCAGCTGTTGATGTTGGGATGATGGCAAGGTAAGTGACATTGCATTATCATTAACTGAGGTCTTGAATTTGAGTTTCACATGAAAGTTGGATAATTAATACGTTATATATATGGTCAGCTCTTTTATTACCATTACAGAGGCAGATTGTAAAACAGTTATCAAGCTAAATATGTCCATGCTTGCGGGGATCGATGACATGACGCATAATCAGTTGTTTGACTGGCAGGACTTGATTAGTTTGAGGCTGATATATCCCGACAAAAAACCCATACAAAACAAACAAAACAGACCCCAAAAAACAAACCCCCGAAAACATACATAATGGAATGACAGACGCAGAAAACGAATGTCTGTAAAAGTAAATTCGGCGTGAAGACTAATATCTAGTGTGCCTACTATGATGGTTGACAAAGGCACGTTATCTTAACGGCATGCCGTTGATTAATTACCATAATGCTGCCCTCTGAATTGCCAACCAGTCCGCCGGTACAGCTATATAGCTAGTCCTAGCTTAATCCACGTTGACGGATGGGTGCAGTCCAATGTCCGTAATGCATTTTCGCCGGAAGCGATGTGGTCATGTGCTGTCTGTCTGTAAACACGGTTTCATGCGTTTGGCGCCATCATTGGTGTTGCCTAACCAGAGTCAAACTCTTCACAAGACAATCAGGCGGCCTGTAGATCCGGATTATAGGGGTATATGTTGTAAATCGCCTTCCTTGTGTATGTAGTTTTCTATTGATAAAAGCGTCATATCCGAATCTAATTGTGTATTGCAGTTAATGTAATGAGACGAAATTGTCTTAGTGTTGTTTTAAGGCCTGCCATACTCAGGTCTCGTTGTTGTTCCCTCCTGTTTGAAGTTCCTGTCCCACAGTCAATAAATTGCACTTTCTGATTTGCAAGACATGGGGACAACCTAGGCATACAGTCTCTGTCTAACCCACTTTTCGCCATTTGTCTGTTCACTGACATACTGTCCCGGAAGCGTGTGCTAACCTCAGTTTTATCACTGATTTTCTGTTTCCGTATAGGGCACGTTTTGCCCGGGCTGTTAACGCTTAATGTGAAATTTCATTGTGATCAGATGTTAACTTCATATGCAACACCAGGGGGTTGTAAATGTACAGCTACATTCATTTAATGCCCAAACTTTTACTCGGTCGCGATATTGATGACTGAGGTTTTTAACAAAGCGCATGCTCAACAGTTACATTTGAGACATTTGTGTTAGTTTCCGTCTGACTCCATCTTCTTCATGTTGATTGCACTGCTAAACGTAATTAAGACATTCTGTGTGTGTCAATCCATTTCATACCCGTGAAGATTAGGGTTAGATTTGATCCTCAGCAACCTATGCTATGCAGTCGGACTCGATGACCAGGTTGATGTATGACATTGTGTTCATGATGTCAGTCACTGGATTGTCTGGTCCAGACTCGATTATTTACAGACCGCCGTCATATTGCTTGATTATTGCTGAGAGCGGCTTTAAACAACAAACAAACAAACTTTCCATTTCCTAAACATGAGAATGAAAACAAGGCTGTCGAAACTGGAAGCTAGAACTGTTTTTAAACACTACCTTCACGGAGGCGACTGAGTCTCGGTCTTATTGTGTAAATGTAAACACTTCCTTTATTATAGGGTATGAAACGAAAGCAACACTTTCGAAATTTGACACCTAAATTATGGAAAAAACATGTTTTAATTATTCCTCTGTACCGCTTGGAGTTATATTGATTATATTTCTCCTCCTGTTCGTATTTTTACTGTTGATAGTCTCAATTTTGTTGCAGCTGCCCAATGATTGCGTTGCTGTTTGTTGTCGCTGCTGTTGTGATTTCACACACTGAAGGTAATTTCTGACCATAGCAAATGTTTTCTAATATATGTATTCCACTACCACAGTAGTGAAGTGGTGTAGTGGATAACGTGTCCGCCTGGGGAGTATTGGTAGGTGTTCTCATGTCCTGCCACGTCATACTATCAGATGTTAAAACATGGTACGTGTTGTCACCCTGCCTGGAGCTCTGCATTGAGGGATACAAGGACTTCTCGGCTCAGAATAATATTCAGTAATAATGAGTGCATTTGTTATGCGCTATTTTCCATCCTTTGCGGTTGCTCAAAGCGCAGGTCTGATTATCATTACCACGGATAATCCAAGCTGCCCGTGAGGCGCTAGAAGGTTAACAGTCGCATGACTTATCTCACCGGGTACCCACTTTCTGCTGGGTGAACAGAGGCAATTTTGAACAAACTCACTTGTCAAAGGTGTGACCACATGTATCACATGTGATTCGTTGTGGGGCAGGACTGAAGTCCAAGAAACTCTCAGGAGTCAAGCTACCAAACACAGTCACCCATCCAAGGACTCTCCGTGTCCAACGTTGCTTAGCTTCAACTAATTTGTGACCTGAGGTCTATGCACAGGACCACACACCATCACGTAAGTGCTGTCTGAGCTGGGTTTCCATATCCGGTAGCTTGAGTCTCAGTTGTCTTGCAGTACAATTGGCACTGGCTTGTACACTCAGACGCACGCATGCTTGCACGCATACACATACAAACTCTCACACCTACATACAAATGTAATGCCGTCATAGCTTCGTATTAGTATTCTAGTGGTATAGCGGATAAAGTGTCTGCCTGGAGAGCATTGGTAGGTGTTCTCATCTCCTACCACGTGATAATATCAGACGTTAAACATGGCACTTGTTGTCACCCTGCCTGGAGCTCAGGAGTGAAAAGTCAGACGCAAATACAAACTCTCACAACCCTACACAATGTATTTGCAGTAATAGACCCAATCACAGGTTCTTCGATGTATTATTTGAATGCTGATGTGATATGTACTCCCTTGCCATGTCTTATTATGTTCGGAACTCAAGAGTGTGCTTTTGCTACTTATATCATAGCATAGTTTTTAATGTATCTCTGCGTATATTTGAAGCATGTCAGATAACCAGCCTCAGTTCATACTTTGCGTTTTCCAGCAGCCAATTGTCAAGAGGATCAGCACTGTTCAGATTGTGATTGGGAGACAGGACACTGCCAGACCAAGTGTCATGATGGCTATTATGATCTGAGATGCAGTTCCAAATGCAGTAGCCAATGCAAAAACAATGTTTGTGAAAAGACAGGAACTGGAATTGACAGGTGCACGGAGGGTTGCAAACAGGGATTTCATGGCTCAAACTGCAAAATACCTTGTCTGGATCCCCGGGACACGTGTGAGCAATGCCCACGTGCTTGTGATGGGGAATTCTGTAATCTCGGGTCATCGTGTATTGCTGGATGTAATAACTCATATTACGGTTCTCACTGTAGCATCTGTTCCAGGAGATGCAAGTCCTGTAATGTGAAAACCAGAACTTGTGAGGAATGCCATGCTGGGCATGGTGGCGTGAACTGTCTTCGGGGATGTGAAGATGATGATTGTACACATGGATGTAAACCAGGATTTTACGGTCCATTGTGTGTTCACATGTGTAGTTTACATTGTCGGCCTGACACAAAGCCCAACGTTGGTGATGGTTCTTTGTCTGCTACAACAGCAGTGTCTTCCAAACCCGAATGTGAACAACTGACAGGGGACTGTGTTCATGGATGTGAGCGTGGTTGGTATGGACCGCGTTGTTCGTCCAAGTGTAAATCACTGTGTAGAAATCTAAAATGTGACAACAAAGGTGCTTGTATTGATGACTGTATACCGGGGATATACGGGAGAGATTGTCTACCGTGCCCCAAGAACTGTGTGAATAGCACATGTCACACACAGGATAGATCTTGTCTGTACGGATGTGTCAAAGGGTTCTACGGAAGTTTCTGTACCAATACCTGTGAGTCGTGTCTCGACGGTATCTGCAACCAAACCACAGGCAAATGTAGCAATGGGTGCAGAAACAATTGTTCGTCGTACGACTGTATGGCAAGGGTGAACTGTGATCCTTCCATTCTACAACGAGACACGATGCCAGGTTACAAACCCAAAGGTAATTCAGTTCAGTGTTGAAAAGATATCAACATTCTAAATGAACAAATTAACTCTGTTCATTTGGATATTTTGCAGTATAACCCCAAAATGGATGTATTAAACATACTTATTATATTTTCAGAGACTACGCCAGTCAATGTTTCTCCTTCAGATAAAGCTGATGGGAGAACATCTTACGTTGTAATGTCAACAGCAGCTTTAGTCGTTGCCGTCAGTGTTGCAGTTGTGTCAGTCGTCAGAAAGATTTGTAGACGAAGGTTATTTGCGTCTTTCATTTCGTATCTTCAGAGCGATGTTCCATATTGCCCAGTGCTATATTTCATTTTCAATATCGTTGTTAGTATTTCGGTTCTCTCTAAAATCTAAAATGTCTTTCAAAATTAACCGTCTTTATACCGTGTTCACTGATAGTGTTATGTGTAGCATATATATTTGTATTTTGTTAACAGATCGAACAACATCAGAGTACAGGGCGACCATGACTTATCACCAAGACGTGTCCACACATCAAGCGTGACGTACGAAACTCTCCATAGATACTGGGAAATTAGTGATGCTGATGTTGGAGCTTCTGCAGCTGCAGTAATGACAGCAAAAGACACCGGTGACGAGACCAGCGGTGCCATGGCAGCTCTTGCAGACGTTTTCTGTCCAAACGTTGACGAGCAGACCAGTCATAATGAAACACCAGAAGATTTGGTTTGGAATTATTGCTCATATTCTCACTTAGGGACAGATAGAGTTTCCGAGACTAAAACACGTAATCGTAAGACAAGAACACTTGTTAGGTACTTAACACCTTCCAATAAAATATGTCAGTTTAAAAAAACAACCAGTTTGGATCATTGGCCAATGCAGCCTTCTTCGGGGACAAAAGACACAACAGTGAATACCATTTGAACTGACCACTGACACTCAACGACGTGTACGGGAAAAGGTTACTCGACTCAGGAGTGTTCAACATATTCTATATTGTGTAGCTATGATGATGTCATCTTTGTGCCTTGTACACTGAAGTACATTGCCATTGTAAACCAATGTGTGGACATGTGCCTCTTTGAAAATGTATTTTGTGTAAATTTGTATATATTTGTAATTGCCGTAGCAACATGACCGTTTCAATGATTAATGCCCGTCCATTCAGTATGAACTGCTTGTACTTTCCCATATTAACACCTTGGACTAATGAATATCTGTTGTCCGAGAGACTAATATGTTTTGTCAGACTTGTGTTGGGCTTGTACATAGTTTATTTTGGCTCTGCGCGACCAGGGAGAGTCGTTCCCTCTGCCTCAATGTATCTGTATCTTACTGTGCATTTTAATACATACTTCCATGAACGAACTGAATTTGTTTTGTTTTGTTTCTAGTGCAAATATATCCTGATAAGTTATTTCCGAGGTTTGAATTTGAATGTACATCAATGTATGTGTCCACAGAAACTAACCTGTTGTTCTCTGTGCAATATTCGACTGTCTATAATTAAAGACGTTTCACATAACTACGTCTTGCTGTCTATGTTGTGCCGACACTCTGTATCATGATGGATCTTGAGGTATGCATATGTTTTTCTATGTGTTTTGTGTCTTGGTCTCACATTCTGAGGTCCTGTTCCATATGTGTAAACATACACACTGAGGGGCGGTGGGGTAGCCTAGTGGTTAAAGCGTTGGCTCGTCACGCTGAAGACCTGGGTTCCAATCCCCACATGGGTACAATGTATGAAGCCTATTTCTGGTGTCCCCCCGCCGTGATTTTGCTATAATATTGCTAAAAGTGGCGTAAAACCAAACTCAGTCAGTCAGTCAGACATACACAGTGTCTCAAAATATTTTCATATAGAGTATTCTAGGACAATACACAAGACAGTTAAAGGGTATTGCACACGAATCCAGCGAGGGGCGCTGGGGTAGCCTGGTGGTTAAAGCATTTGCTCGTTATGCCGAAGACCTGGTTTCAATTTCCCACATGGTACAAGGTGTGAAGCCCATTTCTGGGCGTGATCTTGTTGGACTGTAGCTGAACTAAAAAAACTCACTCACTCGAATCAAGTGATTAGATATAACTGCATATGATAATAAAGAAGATACATGAAGTATTTTAGCTACATTCTTTCATGTCAGACTGACTTGACTTGGGTCAAGTCAGAAAAACCCATTGCACTGACCATCGGAACCTCATCCAATGCCCATGTGATCCCAATTTTGCGAAATTGTCAGCGTTCCAATGAGTTCCGATGAAAATTCACCGACATCCTTTTTTGGGGGGTCCCCATTTTCTGTAAAATCCGATAGAGATCCAACAATGATCAAGTTAATCAGATGAAAGACTGGTAGTGGCCTGATGTCTGTCTGCAAACACTCTCCCGACATCAATCCGACAAATCGGACACTGACCCGATACTGGTCCGATTTGTCGCCAAAATCGGCAGTCGAGTATAAAAGCGGGCTGCATCTCCTGACGGTACTAGCCATGGATCAACTTCCTCGCAACACTGCATTCCCGGGCTTTGTTTTTTATGCTGCAGCAACAAATTATGCAACAAGATGCAATGACCCTTGAGGTCCTGAGATGGGCACTTCACCAGACGCCTGAATTAACTTAGAATGGAGGATACAATGGCATTCTTCAATTTCTTGAGAGTTACGCAAGAATCTTTTGATGAACTACTCCAGAGACTTGAATCAAGACTCAGGAAGGATGATACCAATGCCAGGAGAGCCCTTGAACCTGGTCTCAAGTTAGTTTGCACCCTAAGGCACCTTGCAGCTGGCGATCGGCATCAATCACTGTCGTACAGCTTCAGGGTTGCTCGAGAAACCAATTGCAAGTTTATCCCCGAGGTATGTCAAGCCATAGTTGATGAGTATGCTGATGAATACGAGAGGCGTTGGAACGTTCCACATGTACTTGATGGCAAGCACGTGGCATTCAGGAAACTGATGAACTCAGGCAGTCTCTACCATACATTTCTTCTAAGTGGTCAACATGGCACTTGTTGATGCACACTAATGGTTCTTGTGGATAGACATCGTGGCCAAGGACAAATGTCTGACGCACAGGTATACAACACGTCTGAGCTCAAAGAGACAGTGGAGAGTGGTCACAAAGGATTCCCCCACCTAAGCCAATGACCAATGACAACCAGAACATGCCATACTTCATGATCGGGAATGATGCCTTTGCTCTGCGAACCCACATGATGAAAAAGAATTTGACTTATACAGAGCGGATATATAACTATCACACAAGTAGAGCCCAAAGAGTCGTGGAGAGCGCTTTTGGAATACTGGCAGCCAGATTCCAGTGTCTCCTAGGAACATTACAGCAACAACCTGGCGTTGTCTGTAACATCATAGAAACCTGTGTCTGCCTCCACAGCTGAATACGGCACCCAGCCATGCACCATGGTCAGCTGGATGCAGAGGATGCCAACCACAACATCATACCAGCAGAATGGGAGGTCGCTCCTTTGCCTCATCTTCACTATCTTGGCGTTGTAGTGTCCGTTGAAACTCTGTGGAGTGAGTGTCGACTGACCTTCCTTTTGTAGTCCGTTGGCAGTCAGGTGTCACCGCTTGCTATGCGATATGTGTCGGATGGCAGTTGAGTTAATGAGCCATTACCTTCCGATGTGACAACAGACAGCAATCGGACGGTGCTAAATATCATGTTACCCTCCGATGAGAATCGAATTGGTGATAGGCGGCTATCAGGTGCATAGGGCAGACCGCAGACTGCAATCAGGCGAGCGTCTGATGACTGTTAATCATCGGACACTTATCAGATTGCTGTCAGACCTCGGCTAGACACGTCTGATAGCTGCAGAACACGAATCTGACAAACATCGGACTGACTCGACATTCATCCGAAACTGACTCGATGTGCGACCAGAAATAGCGTCCCATGGCAAACAAAGCTCTGAGCTTAATAACAATAATAACAATTCAAACCATAAATGGAACACGTCAAGAACCTTTGCATGAGCAGAGTGCTCGAGTGGCATCAGACCCAAAACTTCTGATGGGCGTCTGCGTTAACCTCTCTCCTGTTCCCGATTCTTCCGACTAGAGCCAATTGGCCCCGACATTTCTGACCCAAACTCTTCTTCTTCCTCTACTGCAGACCTTTCTGAGAACCCTGTTTACATTTTGTTCAATTCTATTTATCAGGAAATTTGTGATTTACCTTTAGAGAAACGGAGGCCAATTAAACTAAATGTGTCTTTCCCCCAAAATGAAATTGATTTACTAAATTATGCTTTTTCCCTAAAACCTTCTGCAGACTGTTCGTTACATAAAGTGAATTGCTGTGTCTATGCTGCCGCTCGAACTTTGGATGAACTTCACAGAGTTTCAAAAGAAAAAAAACATCTAATGAAAACAACAAAAGACCAAGGAAAACCCGGTTTCTTGTAAAACTTAATGAAACAAGAAGAAATATTTCCTGGATTGAGCTGTGCCTTAAAACAAGATCATCAGGGAATCCCATGTCTAAAAGGCAAAAGGCAATTTGGAAGAAATTAAAATTACAATACAAGACAACGAAAGAAAAGGTACTCCTCCAAAATGTTGATTCCCTTAAGGCAAAATTAAAGGTTTGGGCAGAAAGAAAGTACAAATGGGAAAGGAAGAACAAATTTATCAAACAAAATAATGAAATAATGAAAAACACTTCTACAGGCAACTGAAAACAAACGGTGATGGTGAGCATGATAAGCGGCCTCCCATGGATGCCAATGAAAGGTTCTGGAAACAGTTGTGGTCTATACCCGGTGACTGTAACCTGGAGGCACCATGGGTCAGTGATTATGACCATGCAATGCATGAGAAAGTATCTAGATCGTTTGTCTGCTCGTCTCACCAGATTGCCTGAAAAGTGTTATCAAAACGTCCAAATCTAATACAGCTCCAAGGCCTGATGGCATTCGAAACCGGTATTGGAAACTGTTCCTCTGTGTCCAAACACCATTACTTCACTGTTTCAGTTATCACGTGGACACAGGTGATGTTCCTCCATGGTTCTGTAAAGGTTGCACAATACTCCTTCCCATGAAAGGAGACTTGACTGATCCCAAAACCTTTCGCCCTATCACATGTTTGAATACTCAGTATAAAATCTTCACAAGGTGTTTGACAAACCTTGTGTCATCCTACTGTTCTTGCAATGATATAATTTATAGAGAGCAGAAGGGAGCGAGAAAGGGATGTTGGGGGTGCAAGGATCAACTTCTTGTACAGAAAATGATTTTGGAAGAGGCTAAAACATATCACCGCTACCTCTCCATGTGTTGGATGGACTGCAAGAAAGCAAACGACTCGGTCCCTCGCGAGTGGATTCTGAAGTCTCTTCGTTGTATTGACCTCCCTGGGCCACTACTTAATGAGTTACTGGTCGGCTCAACTTGAGATGTACTCGCAAGGGCAGGTGCACCGCTTACTTCTCCTTTACATGGATGACATCGAACTTCATGCCAAAGGAGATACCAATTTGAAGGAACAGGTTTTCTTTGTCGAGTCTAATGATATTGGCATGACATTTGGACTCGACATATGCAATACTCTTCATATGAAACGTGGCAAGGTAGTTAATGGAGGATTGGTCAAGTAACGGGGTTGGGGTGGGGGAAGTTATTGAGCATCTTGTGGAAGATCAGGCCTACACCTTTCTTTGAATGCAAGTTCGAGACAAGCCCCAGAGTGTCCAAATTGAAGGCAAACTTCGGGCCGAGTACAAATCTCCCTTAAAGAAAATCTGGAGCTCAGAGCTAAATGCTCGAAACAGGGTCAAAGCCATCAATACTTTTGCTGTGCCAGTCCTTTCCTATTCCTTTGGAGTAGTTGGTTGGACAAAACTAGACGTCCAGAGTCTTGACCTCCTGACCAGAAGGATCATGTCTGATAACAGAGCCCACCACCCTCGTTTTTCTCTTAACCGTTTATATATGCCAATCAATTCTTGAGGTCGCGGTTTGATTAATGCAGAGGCTCTTCATGATAGAATGTTATTGTGTACTTTGGTACATATTTATTTATCGGATGATCCTCTGGTGATGCATGGCAAGACTCATGATGAAAGCAAGGAATTCCACAGTTATTTTAAGCGTGCCAAGGTTGTTGGACAGAATGTGAAATTTGAGGTTGATTTTACTGATGGCGATGTACTGCTGGACGGTACAGCGATGGGAGTAAACCAGGTACAGTCCTTCACCAAGTCTGCCCAGAGTCGGTCTTTTGTGGAGAAGCTTTCTGAGAAGCCATTGCATCGTGTCTACATGCAGTGTGTGGAACAGAATAACAATCCCACCGACTCCTTCGTCTTGATGAAGTCGGCTGGTCTCAAATGTGAAACTGAGGGCTTTCATGTTCCTGCTCAGGACCAGTCACTTCCCACTCACAATCGCCTCAATGTGATTCTAAAAGAAAATATTAACATGAAATGCCGACTGTGTAATGAATTTACAGAGATTGTCCAACACTTTGTCTGTGGATGCCCTTCCTTGGCACAAACAACATATCTTAAGAGTCATGATGGCATGGCTCGCTGCTTTTATTACTCTCTTCGCCATGCCTGTGGTTTTGACTCTGAGGTCAATCCATGGTACGACCCTGAACATGTCCAGTGTGTCATGGAAAATGATGCTTTCAAACTTCTTTGGAATAGGCCAATATACAGCATGAGAAGAATTCCTGTCAACAAACCTGATCTTGTCCTTCTTGATAAAGCCAATGAATTTCTTTATATCATTAATTTTCTGTCCCTTTTGACAGCAATGTGATTGGAAAGATTCAGGAAAAGCATGATAAATATGCGGACCTCGCCTTTGAAATATCTCGCTTGCATCCCAAGTACACTGTCGTCAGGCTCCCCATTATTCTCGGTGCCCTTGGTTTGGTACCTCCTGATCTCTTTGCGCAGATCAGGAGAGTGCCCGGGTTCTCTTCCGGGAGCACAGCACTCTGACACTCTGGGTTATGCAGAAGGCTGCAGTGTTGGGCAGTCTACATATCCTCCGAAAACTTCTTGTTAGGTTCGACTAGGCAGCGTTTCCTGGGAGAAGTCCCATTCGCTGTCTGGGCTGCCTGTAGAGGGGGCGAGGGCCCTGAGCTGATGACGAGCCTTACCAGCCTGACTGTGCCAGGATCACCCGAACCCTCTCTGCTGCACTTTCATCTTTAATCCATAAAACATAATAATACTATATTTCCCTGAAGGGATTTGTTTTACATGTTACAGACAGAGCAACACAATGAACACACATGATACACAATTAAAAAAACGAAAAAAAATCCAACCAAAAAACCAAACATACATAAGAATAACTTAAAGGATTAATATAAGTTATGCGAAAATATACATTAAAAGGTTTCAGGTATATGGCATGTAAAAATACTCAAAACTGTAGACACTGCTAGGTAGCTAGAATCAGTCTGAAGTGTCATTTAAAATGGCTATACTAACAGGGATAAAAGAACATTTGGCACGTTTAGTTCGAAGTTTTTGCACTTGATATCTGCGGCCTGATGGCAGGAGGACATATCTCAGGTTGTGGGCATGTGTTGGATCGGCTACTACCTTGCTAGGAAGGGAGATAACTCTGTTGTGGTGGATGTCGTCTAGCCTGGGTACAGGTGTCCCGGCAATCTTGCTGCTGATGCTCACGATCTTGTTCAGCTTGTTCCTGTTTTTCACTGATAGAGAACCGTACCAGACTTGTATGGAGAATGTCAGGACACTTTGTATGAAACACCTGTAGTATGAAAGCATTCTTCTTGTCTCCGCTTGGAAAGATCTGAGCTTGCGCATATGAAACAATCTCTGCTGGCACTTATTATACAAGGCGTTGGGGTTGGCATTCCAGTTGAACTTACTACCTAAGACAGTGCCTAGATACTTGTTGTACTCTGTGACGCTCTCAACTGCCGTACCATTTATTGTCACTGGATGTATTACTTCTTTCTTCATGCGGAAATCTATTGCTATCTCTTTGGTTTTAGATACATTCAACTGTAGGTAATGTCTCTCACACCAGTCTGTAAAGTCTGATATTTCTGTTAGGTAGTATCAGTGATGAGAGCAACAAGAGAGGCGTCATCAGCAATTTGACCAAGGAGCAATCGGGTTGCTGAGCAGTGCGGTCGTTCGTGCAGGTGGTGAATAACAATGGGGACATCACACAACCCTGCGGGCGGCAGTGTTAGTGGTTAAGATGGTTGAGTGGACGTTATTCGCTCGTACAAACTGCTGGCGTTCTGTTAGAAAGTCCGATATCCACAAGATGAGTTTGGAGTTGATGTTTGTGTCAATAAGTTTCTGGACCAGGAGATGTGGTTGTATAGTGTTGAAGGCAGATGAGAAATCTGCAAATAACACTCAAACATACGAGTTTGGTCCTTCCAGGTGATTGTATACTTTGTCTAGCACCATTATTATAACGTCCTCTACGCCCCGGTTTGCACGATAGGCACACTTTATAGGGGCCCGCTGTCTCTTTGATGTCCCTTAGCAGGTAGGGGAGGAGTAATTGCTAAAAGCATTTCATGGCTAGGCTGGTCAATGCAACAGGTCTATTGTCGTTTAAAGGAGAATACGAGTGAATTGCAATAATTTGATGGGTGAAGATAAAGTCATCAGAAACATATTCCTAAATTTTCAATTAATTTTTTTGTATAATTATGTTTTAATCGCGAAAAAAGTTTCTGTAAATCTCAGCTTCGGCCATTATGCATATTTCACTGGAACCCACGTGACCTTTCCGCTCGTGACGTCAAATGTGCATGGAGTCCGCCATATTGCCAAAGACCAAGCGCTACAGTAGTACAAATCGTGTTGTTTCTGTTGTTTTTTTAAATGGTACGATGGTGTATTGCGTTGCCTGGGGATGCACGGCATCATCGAACATTGGAAAGAACCACCATTTCTTCCGTTTTCGGCAGGAGAAATGCGCCGATCATTCCGAGTCGGACGCATATGAAAGAGACATGCATGCATGGGGTATGGAAATCCCCAAGCTAGTCTGAAGAAGGAAAAAGTACCCACGAAATTCATTAATTATACTCCATCATTCCCTGTAACAACTTACTGTCAGTGTTATTTTTAAAATAAATTAAATCAAGTCCGATTGCCAGTCGAATTGCTCCCGCTACAAAATGCCCCAGCAAATTTGGTCAAATTGCCCCAGTGGGGTAGTCAAAATGCCCCAATTTATTTAAAATGAATAAATATAGGCCATAAATGCATACTTGTTTTGTCAACTTTGATATTATGTTCTTCATACATAAGTATATCAATAGTTATGAGTTTACTGATGAAACATTTACAGAAATATAACTTCCTAATAACTTTTATATGAAGAACATAATATCATAATAAGTTGACAAAAACTATGCATTTACGGCAGATATTCAATCATTATAAATAAATGTGATCAAATTAGAATGAATGACCAAATTTGCTGGGGCATTTTGTAGCTGGGGCAGTTCGGCTGGTACACATGAGATATATATTATCAAAGTCAGTAAGAGATTTCACATGAGCTTGAAAATGTTTCGCTATAACGTTCTTTTCGGTTTGGAGCCCTAAATGATGCAGTCAACTCCAAACATTGCCGAATACAACGGCAAATCATGAAGTACTTGTTGCTTTCATTGTCTTCCATTTTGTCCAATTACGCACGTCGGCATCAGACTCGCTATTTGTCAGTAGTGTGTGCCGTGAAAGTTGTTCTGTATTCTCACTGGCTGACAGGATGTCATTCTAAGGCTATGACCGAGTACCATAACTATTTCCATAACCAAACAATGGGGAAACATACGTTGTCCTGACTAGTATTTACAACACTGTTAAGTTGTGAGGTAAAATCAAAGAGGAAGCCATCAGCAACAGGCACTTATGACGTCATG